TACTCACGTGAAGAGCACCTGGGTTCCGGCTGCTCGGAGGCGTGAGCGGAGGGGGGCGGTGGTCGGTGATAGTGTTGACGATGGTGGGTCTTCTGGGTCGTCCTCTTGTGGAGCAAAAAGAGCGAGACTTGACATGCCTACGCGATCTAATGTGGAAGGCCGCTTTCATCACCAGGGTTTGCTCTGTTTCCTCCCCATTGCTGTAATGTTAGTTCAATGTAGAATTTTGATCGTATCAGAGCAGAAATTGACTGTTTGTTTGTTGAATAACAGAGCCAAGTTTCAAAGAGTCATTGCCCGGTCAAGTTCGAGCTCCGGCGGTTTTCCGGTGCATCAGAGTAACAGCCATTACCGACGGTGAAGCAGAGGTGGCTTACCAGGCTACAGTGAATGTCAGTGGACATGTGTTCAAAGGGTTTCTCTATGATCATGGAATTGATGAGAAAAATATTTTTCCTTGCATTTCAAAAACGCAGTTGGAAAGCAGCAGCGGGAGGGACAAGTTTTCTTCTTCCCCTGTTGTCCACCCTCCAGAAACCATTGGAGACCCTGAAAACTGAAGATTTTGCTTTGAAGGTACTAGTACAACCTTTTCCAGGGTTTCATTATTGTCTATTACTCCTATGATCTGAGAATTTGGGATGTCGTTACGCATTGTGGTCTATCTGAAAATTATTCATCTTTAATTTACAATGATTTACATTGAGGATAAACAACTAAAAGTCAGTTTCATATTCATCTCCTTCTGTACGAACAATCGTTCCATGCCAAACCCAGATACTCTGACCTTCTGGGCCAGAAAAAAGAATAAATTCAAAATCAAGTTCCACCATTTTTGGTATAGTTAATGCATTTACACTTGAAGCTGGCTTCGGTAACTCTACTTGTCCACTCTAACCTACACCTAAAAAAATCGTATCTTTGCAACTGTAACTTAGTTTAGATGAAGAATCAAGAATGGATTGAGAAAGCTATCCTGATTTACAAAACTATGTCGCTGGTTGCCAAAAACAATGACCCTTTTCCCTTAGCACTCTCATCTCCGGTAAGATCATATTGTACAGCAATAGAAGTATGAATTTTCAAGTGTCTTCTACAAAAACTCTGAAGATGAAATCCCGGAAACGTTTCGAGTATTGCTTTGGATCAACGGCGGAGATGGAGGTTGGATCATATTGCATTGATTTATAGGCATGCTCAAGCTTCTTGCTAATGTCATAATCCTGTAGTATGTCTATTATACCAAAGAAGAGGATAACGTCGCATAATTCTCCGGTTGGTTCCCCGATGAGCTGAGTTTCACAATCACCTTTTCTCGCTGCTTTTTCAACCCTGGCAGGCATGTTTATACCTAATCTAACGGAAGCCCACCTGCATTATCCCATGAAGACATATCGGTAGAAAAGTTGCAGTAAATGAGTAGGTCACCAACTAATGTGACTCATGAATGTATGGGAGGATTGATTTTAATTACCTGGAGGGGTCAAGAAGAAGTTGATCCATTTCAGCTCTAGAAAGACGATCCTTTTCAACTCTAGAAAGACGAGGAGCTCCGTTATTATGGGGATCTCCATTTCCTGTCAAAAAAAGGTTCAAAATTTTGTTCATCTGTTCAGCTATGTTGTTCCCAGAATCATTAATCAAAACATTAATTCTCCGGATATGAGCAGATATAACCAGTAGGAGTCCGAACTCCAGAGGTTCGAGGTGGTGTACAATCCCGGCCTGCAACTCCCCGGAAGTGAAGACCAACTAGAAGACTGTAGTCCATGATCCTCTCCTGCTCAAGAAAGTCACAATCCCGGTCGACTTGTCTGGAAGAAATTGAAGTCACAAATTATGTTACAAATACAGTATTCCACAAGGCAAGACTTGAACTTGAAAAGGAGGTAATTAGGGAAGTTGATCACCTGCAAAACTCAGGGAACCATACTTTGGATAAACGGAAAAAGTAATTCAAATCAAGGTCTTTGAGGGTTGTTGTTGGGTCGATTTCAGACTCAGGCTTAGCAGTTGTACGGCCATGGGAGGAACCTTTCAAGTCGAACCGCCTATGGATGGCATAATCAGTACAGAAGAGATTACCCATTATAACAAATCGGACCTGATGGACAAAATCCACAAATGAATGAAATATTAATTTGTTTCCTTTTTCTCAAATTTCATCGTAAGGAACATTTATGAATTACTGTGATATTAAAGGATTACCTTCTTCTGCGCTGGTCCTGTTAATTTTACACAATGAAGTCCATAAAATTTGGTGACAAGAGTGTTCTCGAAGGACCTGACATGATTATAATAAGCAGGAAGCATCCTTATAAGGACCTGTGATAGAAGAGGAAAACTTTTATGGTAATGGCATGATGAAGCAATTCAAATTCAGAATGAAATGGAGAAACAATAAGAACACTCACCTTAACTTCTGCCTTCTTCATTGTCTTGATCATGTATCGATCATCATTTGTCAAGTAAAAAAAGCTGCCACTTTTTCCAGGGGATGACAGTTCTCGAAGAGCATCATTGCCACATATTGAAATCATGTAATCAGCTGCATCTACATTGAACAATTTCCTAAGGGTCCTGAAAATGGAAGAACAATTCTCCTCAATGATCTACATGTAGCCATTAGAATCACAAATTCAATATGTAGCGAATGCAAGAATCTGTTAAAAGATAATCGGGTATATGTTTGAGTTGCTAACCTAAAAACAAGTGGGCAGTAATCCTTCCATCTGAAATCACATGATTGATGGGGAGGAGTGTGCTTGGATCCTTCAGGGGGGAATTTGGTCCATACTTTTTCTTTTGGGTCAAAAGCAGAAGGCTTTAGATCAATGGATACTGCAGGACCTGGCCTTCCAACAGAATGTCTGCGCAACATAACCATGAATTAATACAGATGTTATCTGAATGAAGAAATGACTCCAAGAGTAAATACCTGATACCCAATTGTAAGTTGAGCATGAGTTCATAGTTTTTGTGACCCTTTGATATGGTCTCCCCCTGCTTTTTGGGTGGCGCTTTAAACAGTGGCCAACACCCTCTCTCAGTTTCTTCAAATTGTACATTTCCTAAGCCATCATCTCCATCTCTCAAATCCCCTTCACCGGCTGCAGAAAAATCAATGGCATCGGACCCCCAATTGTAGTTACTTATCCGGCCAGTATCAGCTGACAATCTTTTAATCCTCCCAACATCTTTCTTAGCCATTCCTTGTTCCATTCCGGCCCAATTTGGCATCTTTTGAGATGGAAAGACTGAAATTCTCTCACCAGGACAAATCTTGCAGTCCCTCAATTCCACCATGAACATCTGCTGAGGATCCCAATCCAAATTTCCGGTGGGAGAAGCAGATGGGTAATAAGTCCCATTCATCTCTTTTGGATCTTTGCTCCAAACACCCACATAGAAACTCCCATCTACCCATCTGTAAGTGCCATTCCCTTTTGGCAAACCATCTTCCCAGAACCCATCATACCTATTCCCATTGTTCCAAATCATAGTCCCATTCCCATTGATAGCTGCATTCCTCCATTGGCCAATGTAGTGATTCCCATTCTTCCATTGATACCTTCCATGTCCATCCTGTAATCCCCTACGCCATTCGCCTTCATAGTAATCCCCATTGCAATAGCTCTTAGTCCCCTGTCCATGTTTCAAGTTCATAACCCAAGAACCTTTATAAGTATCCCCTGCAGAACCTGTATAAGTCCCTTTACCATCCATGTACCCTGTCTTGAATTCACCTTCATAGGTGGCACCTGAAGGCCAGCTGAACCTACCTTTTCCCGTAGTCTTACCCTTGTGCCATTCGCCAACATACATGCACCCATCAGTCCAAAGGTACTTCCCTTGGCCTTGTGGGAGATTATCATACCATTGGCCGGTGTAGAAGTCACCCGTAGGTAGGACTTTCTCCACATGGTGGAGGCCACCGGCGCCAGGCTCATCATCATCAACATGGGCTACAGACATTGTGAGGAATAAACTGTTTTTAAATTTCTTTACAGCTTCTTGTGATTTCCTTACTATTGCTTCCAAAGCCTTGAAAATGCTACATTTCCTGCTCATTCTCCACCTGGAAAACTATCAAAATCTACGAACTTTTTCTCTCTTACTTCCATATCTCACTTCTTTTCCAATACCCAGATCGAAGCTTGTACCTTTCTTTCTCTATATTCTATATCAACCCCCAATGTGCGAAGTTGTAGTTTTCAAGAAGAGAAAAGCCATTTCTGCAACAAACCCGGAAAATGGTAGAAAACAGAGAATCATGAATGAAAACAAAAACAGAAACAAATGTTTTGCCTGTGTCTTTTTGTGATCCTGTATTGTGTTTTATGTTTTGGGGTATATGTCAAATTTTCAGAAAAGGAAAGGGAAAAAAAAAAAAACAGAAAGAAAGATGGAGCTATTGATTTGATGAAAAAAGCCAAAAGAGAGGAAGGTTTGTCCGAAGATGACTGCCTTTTCTCTTTGTTCATCAGCAAGAATTTTCTCTTCTTCTTTTTTCCCCTTTTCTTTTCTTTCTTTCTTTTGTTTGTCTGTGATTCATGAAAAACATTTTGCTTTGATTTCGGGTGAGGCTCCTAAAATGCCTAGCAGACCAAACAGTTGGAGGGAGAGGAGATCGGCTGATGGGTTTGCCATTTTTAGTGTTCCTTTGCCCATCTAAGCGCTAATATTTATTTTAGTTTCTTAAAAACAAAAAAACTAAGCACTACTTGAGTCTTTCTTTTTGAAAAAAAAAGTTACAATACTAATTTGGTCACTTGATTTTTAGATTTTATTAAAATTGTTTCTCATCTTTTAAAAATATCAAAACTATCCCTAAATTTAAATTTTTAATACTGAAAAAGTCTTTACATTAACAAAAGTATCGCGTAATTGATTATTTTATCACAAAATTAATTTTTTTTAAAATATTAATAATATGTAAAATCAAATAATTATATTTTTTATCATAACATATTTCTATTTATATATTAAATTAATAAATAATTAAAGTTAAAAAACCAAATTGATATTTACAAAGTTTAAGGATTGATATTTACGATCAAAGTATAAGGATTAAGTCAGTTCTTATTTTCAAAGTTTAAAGACTAAAATATTATCATTTTCAAAGTTTGAGAACTATTTTGGTACAAAAAATTAAAATTTAATAACAGTTTTAATGCTTTCTTAAATTAAAGGATAATTTTAATATAAATTTAAAAGTTGAGGGACTAAATTAATATTTTAACCTTTAAAAAAAGCATGCCATTGTATTAATAAGAAGGTAAATTTATTACGATGCAATATTTATTTTTATATAGAGATAATTTAATAATTTATAATTTTTATATGCTACAACATATAAATTTTTTTAAAGCAAATAATAACCTAAAAAATAAAAAACTATGAAAACAAGATAACATCTAATTGTCAGAAAGAATAAACTATTTATTGTCTCTTGAGTATATTTTTTTTTTAACCGCTTACAACTTAAGACAAGAAAATTCAAATCATGCACTTTATTATGAGGTTTAAATTCGTCGGACCACGAAACCAGATACGTCTCCTGAGCATTAATTATACAATTATAACATACAAACACCATGACAGCTTACCACCATCAAGAAAATGGAATAGCAATCTAGCAGCTCCAATCAAGAAAATAGTAGTCCAAAACACCAACAACCCACACGAAACAAACAAAAACCAAACACCATAAATCAAGAAAATATGGGAACAAAGTTCCTCTATCCCATTAGCCATGGCTACCAAGTAGTCCAAAATAACCATCAATCCACGCACGACTGCACGAGGTAAACAAAAACCAAACACCGTACGTAAGCGGCCCCCTGCACAATCTCCGACCACAAGCAACATTCGAGAACCTTCCACCAAACTACCGCTACAACCCTCACACAAGAGCCACACACCCACCCTATGCATTGGCCCTGCATCGTGGACAAGTTCTGCACCGTAGACGGACCCTTCTCTGTGCACCTGCCCCACGCCGTACACATGCCTTGTTCCACCCACCAGCCCCTTCTAATCCATCCAAACCCACCTTCTCCTTCTCCCTCAACAGACTTGACTTCTCAACCTTCTACCCTTCATTGAAGCACCACGAGAAGGAAGAGGATGAAAGCACTGGTGAGACCCCCACACAGAAGAACTGAGGGTTTAATCCCCCGCACGATCATACAGGGAGGGCTGTTCTCCCGCGGCCTCTAGGAACCCCAGCCACTAGCGAGTTTAACTAGAATTTAATCCCTCATACTAGAGTCTTTCAAATTTGAATTTTGCTTAAAAATATCCATGTCTTTTCATTATTCTGCATTCTTGTCCTTACATTCTTTTATAATTCTACTTGCTTTATGGTCTAGTAGTAGTGAATGGTATGAAATTAGCCGTGGTGGCCCTAGGATGTTCGCCATTTGCTTTGGGTGGCACCAGTGACTTCTTTGGTGTCTACTTTAGTAGCATGCGATAGAACCACCTATGACACGCCATTTGGGTTTCGATTTGGAGTTAACAACCGAGCTTACAATTTGATAGCCATAACTCCAGTGGTTGATTTCGTCATCGTTCAGAGTCCTTAAGTTGAGCCTTGATTGTTGCTAAATTCTGCTTTATACAGTCATAATTGTTGTAAATGCACCATCTTATTTCCTTAATTTAAATTCTTAACAGGTCTAAATTCAAATCTTGCTTTTGAGTAAACAGGGAAGAGGAGATTAATTATTTGGTGATTAATTAGAAGAATCCAAGTTGTTTGTTTGTTGAGAAAGAGCTATAAAAATGTCTTTTATTTTTAATTTATTAATTTGATAGTAATATTTAATAATATTTTGTTTAATTGAATTCAATTATTATTGCTGGCAAAAAAAATTCAATTATTATTAAATGAATATTTCATCTAGGTTTTTGGGGCTTTTTTTTTTTTTTTTATCACATGAAAGTAAAGAGTGCAATTTCTTAAAATAATTTCATCCCAAAATGATATATTTACATATATCTCCTTTAAATTTACAATTACAATTATAATATGTCAATATATTATTTTGTTTAAAACTTACTATAATATTTTAATATTTCTTTTTGGTACATAATATTATAATATTTATTTATTTAATAATACGTTGTAATTATAAATTTATAATTCTTCTACTTAACTACTCGTATGGTAATGTTAATGGGAAGTATATCATTCCCATAATTCCCTAAGTTCCATGTTTAGTAGCATAGACAACCAAAACATCCTCAACCTGCGCGAGCCCACAGCCCAAACATTGGTCCAGCCCGTTAGTATTTTTTTTTCCTTTTTATGGTTAGCTCAGCCCATTAACAATTTAATGCTACTCAGTACTCACAAACTTTCTTTTTTTTGGTTTTCCTCTGAAAATTTTGATAAGGGTTAAATACTTTTTTGTCCCTCAAATTTTTTTTCAAAAGTACTTTTGTCCCTGTATTAAACGAGAGGTCACTTCCATAAAAAATGGGCCATTTTTGCTTGCTCCCCTAAAGTCATTAATGAAATGTGATTAACGGTATTAGGCGATGGATGGAAAGTGAAAAAGAATACAGATAAAGATATAAGTCTTATCCTAATGATTTGTTGATTTGAGTGAAAAAAATTCGATTCTCTTTAAGTAAAGTCTTGAATTTGAGTCTTGAATTTGAGTCTTGTGAATAGAGAAATAAGCGCTGGGAGAGCTTTCCTCTAATTGACTTTGATGCGACTTGATTCTGAATTAGTTGGGACTCAATATGATTACCGAATACCGGAAGGTTAATATAAATAAAAAAAAAACCAAGTCTTATCCCTTTTTTTTAGTTAAAGATTTAAATTTTTTGTTTTTAAATAAATAAAAGGTTCTTTTTTAATTTATACTTTAAAAATATTTTTTATTATAAATATATATAAAAAATATAAAAATTAATATTAATTTTAGTGTTAATGTTAAGTAGATGAATTTAATTAAATAATTAATAAAATAAATATTAACTTTATTTTTTAATATAAATTTATAATAAAAAAATATTTAATACACTCTTTATCTATATTTTAAAAATATATATAATATATTTTTAACTTATTTCCTTATTACATAAATTTGATAAACTCATAAACTAATTATCTATTTTTTTTTATCTTAGTTACACAACGAGAAGCAATTATCTCATATTTCTTATCTCATACTCATCCCATCCGCATGCTATATGATTAGAATTTAAAACCTCTTATTTTTAATAAAAAAAGATGATTATTGAATTATTTAGATAGTTAACAAACCAATTATCATGCAACTTTCACGTATGCACATTGAAGGCAAAATAACGAAACTGATGCACCACCAAAACGAAAAACAAAGGTAATTGAACAAGTACAATTTTTAAGGCAGAGGAAGAGTTTGAACACAATTTATGAGATTGAGAAGCGCACCTTTTTATTAAACGGCTTACAAGGCCAGGTGCGAAAAACAATAGTAATTGAGTCTTATGAATTCATCAATTGCCTTTAATTCGCAATGTATGAGCATGCAAAGCTTCAATAACCTTTTTCAACAGCTCCTTGGACTCTGCGTATATGAGATTGCCATCGGCATTGAACTTGGGAGGAGGCTGGAAAGCCTTGCCAAAAAACAGGGGTTTATTGACGAAATGAAGGTCCAGAAAAACTCCAATCTGGCGGAGATGGAAGTGTTGTAAACCCCCTCCAAGGCCTCCTCCGGCACTGACAATGTCGGCGGCTTTTCCGGCCCATACATTAGGTGGTCTTGATGCCCAGTCAATAGCATTTTTTAATATTGCTACATCACGGTTCATGCATTTTGGGGGAAAAAAAATTAACATTTATCCATTGAAAAAAGAGAAAATGATTAACAACTCTTGCTTTTCTAATTGAGTTCTATTTTTAACATGAATAATTACATTAAAGACTCATGGTGCCTCCACCTAATACCTTTTATTTTTCATTTTTGACCAGCAGGTCCAGCACCAACGCCTTTAAACTTTAATGAATTGACAATTTTTTCTGGGTGGCCGGCGCCGACAATGATTAAGCATCTTATTAATTAACGCTTAGATGATATTAAAATGATTTGTTAATATATATTTTAAAAATTATAGATGGCAATGGGTCTCATGAGGACAAGGATTACCTCCTCATCCCCATCTCTACCAATGGCGAATATAGAGATTCCCATAGGAATTTTTAAGAAAGGGTCAAAAATAGCCTCCATCTCCATACTCGCGGGGAATGATAACTCCTTGCGAGTATTCGAAATCCCCGCTAAATAAAACTATCATATGCTTTGCTGCTTGTTAATTAAAAATAGCCTTCGTCCCTATACTCATAGGATAGGCTCTGGTGAAGACATTTGCTAATTGATATTTAAGAATGAATGAAATTAGAAATTACTAGTTATTAAGTCTAGCTTGTGAATTGATTGATTAGAAACAAATTGTTTAATGGAAAAAGTGCAAGTTCAAATTTATTAAAAGGCAAAATACTCAAATCCACCCCCAAAATATACTAGCAGGGATGGATTTACCCCCGAACAAAAAATGAGGATAAATCCACCCATAAAGTTTTCAACTCAAACAAATCACCCCAAATTTAACGTGTGATATCATCTAACGTCAGCAGTCCGTTAATTTATTATGTCGCTAATAACGAATTGCTGAAATTTGATGATGTCAAATTAACGGATTGCTGATATCAAACAACATCACATATTAAATTTGGAATGATTTGTCCAAATCAAAAACTTTATGAGTGGATTTATCCCCATTTTTTGTTCGAGAGTAGATATGTCCCTACTACTATATTTTGGAGGTGGATTTGGGTGTTTTGCCTTCTTGAAATACTTTAAATCATAAGCACTAAAGCATAGAGAAGAAAAATAGGTGTGTTGTGAGTGTGAGGTGAGGAGGACTTGCTAACCTAGAGTTGGAGAGCTTGAAGAGAATTAGAGGCAGAGCCAAAGAGGAGGAATTTGTGAACTACAATTCAGAGGACCTATTGTCATGTGAGGTAAGGAGGACGACCTGAGCCTTTGAGCTAGAGGTGAGCAGTGAACTGTGAGTGGAGGCAACTCAAGCAAGTAGCCAACCACTGTCTATTTCAGTGGTAATAATGAGGGACGCCGAGAATGAGATAAGTTGCCAGCGACTAGTTGAGAGATTAGAGAAAAGCTGTCAAGTCGAGTGTGAGTGAGAAATGGGAGAAGATCAGTGTTGCAATGGTTGCATAATGGGTTGTGAGGGTGAGAGCTTGAAGGGAATCACAGACGAGGATTGAGGAACTAAAACAGAGTTATAGTGCAGAGGAGACCGGAGAGGAAGAATCGCAAATTTGAAATCTCTGGATAGTCTTTCTAGGGTTACCAATGCAAATTGGGCTAGGCAATTAGGTTTAGGAAGACAAGATTGATAAAAAGAATGGGTTGAACTAGATAATTGGGTTTGGAAAAACCGAAAAAGAATGGGTTTTAAAATTTAGGTTGTATTGGTATTGAATTAGTTAATTAGGTTGGGTAAGTAAAAATTAATTGTTAATATATTTACAAATATATATATAAATTTATAAATTTATAAATTTTTTATTTTATATGGATTCCCACGGTTTTCCACAGAGCGGAAGAATTCCTCGCAAAATTTCATTGGGGAAAAAATTCCCCCATCCCCATCCTAAGGGAAGAAATATTGTTAGAATCTCCATTCTCGTGGTAGGGATATCCGCAAAACTCCGCGAGTCACGGAAGAAATTGTCATTCCTATTAGAGACATAAATTAAACATTAATATAATATTTTTTTATCTTAATTAATTATTATACCATTTAATTCATTTAACAAACAAAAAAATATAATGTAATAATCTAATAATTAATTATATTAAAATAAAATAATAATACTTATTCATCTTATATGTTCAAGATAAGAAAATTATTTCAAAATTATAAAATTTTAATAAACTCCTATTGAAAAAAACTAAAACACCTTATTTTTAAAATATGAATTAAAGTATTTTATTATTATTTTTTATAATATTTTATTAAAATAACATAATTTTTAAATACTTATTTCTTAAAATAATATAATATTAATTATTCGGAAAACGACAATAATTACATTTCTCTCTAACTTA